TTTTAGAAATACATACAAATACCCGGCTTCACTACCCAAAAACTCGATCCTCAAAAATCGCATTAAAACCTCGAAAACGGCCGGAAATATGCCCCAAGGGGGAATGGAAGTGGGGGGAATGCAAAAAAGGAGCGCAGTCCTCCCCTGGCTAGAAATCCGAGCATTTCCTTTCCTATTTTCCACAAGTCGCCAAGCCACTTCTTTTGCCCTGCCCTAGAGCTATGGTGAAGAGGAAGAAGAGGTGCGCGAGGGAGAGAGGGTCAACTTTGAGCGGAAAATATGCCCCTAGGCACAAACAAAAAACGAGGCTAGGGAATGAGGAAGAAAGCTGCGGCCGGGGACGAACTCCACCATGGCGCGTATTTGAAAAATGAATATAAAGGAGGAAGAAGACGGGCTTGGATTGTTATTTCAAAAACGAATAGAATTCAGCGTTTATTAAACCCTAAGAGCGACAATTCTGGTTTCGAAGCTAATAAAAACCAATCTGCAATCGTTAATTTTCGAGAAAAGTTTTGGATTTCGAAAAATAGCAAAGAAGTTTTAGATGTGCAAGGTTGCTTCTTAATGTTGAAAGCCTAAAATCCATCAATTTTGCACATTTTTTGTTACGTGCCACTCCGATTTAGCAGCCCCGCCTGACCTAAACGCATTTCCTTAAATTTATTACAGCGTGAATTGGCTTTCCCCGGAATTGCTAGTGATTTATAGCGCCAATTTACAAGTGTAAGCCGAAAAATCACGAAAACCACAAGCCTTGAAGATGAGACAGAGAAAGAGAGAAATAGTGAGAGAGAGAGAGAGAGAGAGAGAGAGAGAGGGAGAGAACTTTTCGCTCTCTAGGCTGCAAAATCCGCAAGATCCCAAATTTACTGAAAAACCGTCAAATGCTCAGAATTTTAGAAACTTTTTTTTTGCTAAAAAACTGAACCCACTTCCCATGCCGGTGTGACGCCTTGGTGGACACTTGTTGCGGAACAAAAGGAAGGCTCCGGCTAGGGTTCTTAGCTTTTCAGCATAGGTAATGGGATGGGACGGGCTGGGCAGATGGCCCAATGGACTTCCGACGGCATCAAGGATTCTGCAGAAAAATTCCTGAAGTGGGAGGCCCTTTAGGAGGCTGGGGAACGGCTATTTTTTTGCATAATCCCGCAAAGCCTGGTACTTAGAAAGAAGTATTTTAATAGTGAAGTAAAGATTCAACGATTCAATATTTCAACGAGAAATATTATTTTAAAACTTTTTAAAAAGTTGTGATCTTCGTCAAAACCCGCCATTTTTGATCGAAAAATCGATATTTTTCGTATTTTATAATAAAAAAACTAGTTCTAAATAATCAAAAAAAATAAGAAAAAACGATATAATATTACTACTAAATAATAAAAAAATAATTTGACGTTGAGAAACAAAGAAAAACAAGTCAGAACACTTCCGGTATTTATCTTTACAAAATTGGATGCTTAAAATGTTGATCTGTTGACTTTTGTTGATTTTTTTCGCGGTTCGCAGTCTTCTGGATTCGCTGAGAATGGTTCATGCCCAAGTGACGATAATTCAGCAGGGATAGTAATGCCTAATCAGAAATATCCTAATTTGCATAAATAATTTTCTTTCCTAGCGGCTATCCGGATCAATCTTTATGCCTTTTCTATCTTCCCCGCCCTCTTATTCGGCCGGGCCTTTCCCATTCTACCCGCAAAATGCTTCAGCAGCTGTGGCGTGCTTTCTGCTGCCTGGGCACCACTCGAAAGCCGGAAGGAGCCGAGGACCCGCCAGCCAAGGAGGTAGCGCTGGCATCATAATGCAAATGAGTGTAAATTCCTTATGTTTACGCATACGGCTTTCCGTGCCCCCGACACGCAACGCGCGAGGCCTGAAATTCAGCGCAACGCGCCCGCATGGCAATCGGCGCGCGGCGCGTGTCGCGGCCGCGGCAAAATCCGTCGAGAATCGATTGAAACCTTAATATCCTTAGCGATTCCTTGCCGGGGCCTTTCCACAAATCAACAAATATCGTGTTCAAAATAGCAGTATAAACTTTAAAACACAAAATTTGCTTTCTCTCCCCCCGTTAAGCAACCTTTACCGAATCTTGCATATTTGAGATCGAAGACGCTCCGCCGTTCGTCTTGGAACAGCCCTATCCCGTACCCCGCGAAGTCGGTCTTTCGAACTCAGTTTTTATTACCGCAAAATTCTAGTGCCCCTCCTTAAAAAGTACTGTTCATTTGCTTATTATTAGTGGAAAGTTGTATTTATATTTAACGTGGAGCAACTATCCAAAACGACGAAATCTTGAAATCCGGTCGAAAATCGGCCATTTCTGGTCGAAACGTCGAGGTTTTTGCATTCTGCTGATAAAAATAGTATTTTTTGCGCTTAGGAATAGTAAAAAACAGTTTATAAAAACTGGCTCTGTTTTTATTGGAAAATTGGGTCTTTAGAAAGAGTTAATTCTTGTCAGGATGCGCTCCTCTCCCTCGAGCACTTCCAAAACATGCAGCGCCCCATCTGGCTGATGCTCATGGATATGCTGAGCCCGCTCGACCTGCTCAACTTGGCCCACGCGCACCCGCTCTTCAAGGTGGCACTCCGCATTGTAGAGTGTAACTTTGGAATTTCCAGGATCTTATCACCCGCTCGCCAAAACGATGGGGTACCGTGGAGGAAATTCCGAAAAGTTTCAGCAAGCCGGTCGGCAGGGCCAATGGAAAGTGGGTGCTGCTTCATTGTGCCGTTTAGCTACCCGTTTTAGGGTGTACATAATCAGGACGCGTCAGGGCAGTTGGGATCGGGCGACCAGCTACATTCTGTTCTATGGCGACGTGTACGGGTGAGTACAGCTTGGCAAACACGTGTTTTTGCTCGCAGGGATTGCGAAAAAAATAAAAATTTATACAATTAAAAAAGTGTTTGAGCGGTTATTCGAATTTTGCATGTTTTTGACATAACTTTTTTATTTTACATTGTTTTGGGGTAATTAAAACTATTATTATATTTTTTGACGTTCTAGCGAATGGCGTTAAAGAAGTTTCGTGACAATGTCGAAAATGTCGAAAACTAGCTTTGCGCCTCTTGTTGCCATAGGGAAACCCTGTTTGAATTTTGTTTTTGTTGTAACACTTTTATATTACATTATTTTGGGCTGAAATTCAAAGTGTTAGTATATTTTTTGATGCTCTATCGAATGGCGTCGAAAAATCCCGAAAAAATAACGAAAATATTCAAGACTTTGCGACCTTCGGGCTGGGCGGTAAAGTCAACCGTAGCCGAAAAAAGTTGTTTTACCTACAAAAATTAGTTTTCATCCAGCACGAGCGTTTAGGTATATGGAGGCAGAAGACGATGGATACCAATTCCTCACCGGCGCCTACAAGGGCCGCTGTCAGTACGTCCCGCCGGGCGCTGATCGTGATGGACCGGCCAAAGTGGACTTGTTCATTCTACTGAACAATGCGACACTCGATGAGGTATTGAACATCTTGAAAGTCTTCGAAAGCTACATTTTAGTACGGTTTCGGCACCGGGTGGAAGTTGCCCACCATCGAAAGTTACGCACAGCCCCCGCGCTTCCGCGTCCACATGGCTATGCTCGACATCAAAGGGCCCAAGCAGGATATTTGCAAAAAAATTGGTAGGTTCCAGGCATGTAAAGAAATCAAGTTCCAATCTAAATGTCAAAATTCACGATATCGAAATTGATGATGTCGGAATTTACGGTGTTTTTTCGGTTGGTGGGGCGGAGGGGAACCAAATGTCAAGCAACGGATCCGTTTTTTAATTTGAATACTGGAGGCGTTTTTAAACTGTTTTTTTATACAATTACCGAACGTAGAAACTTTACCAATTTTATCAAAAACTACCATGAATATAGATTTTTTTTTTTGAGTAAAAATGATCGATCTCGGCAAAAATGCCATCTATTCAGCTTTCCAAGTTTTTTTAATTGTTTTTGAGGTAAAATCTATTTATGTTTTACTAAAAATACTGTTGAAACGATTGCTGTGACATTTAGGCATCTCGAGATTTAGACAAAAATTTGGTACACCAAATCTCGAAATACCATGCAAAAAATTTCGACATCATGGTCTGTCGATATTATGAAATTTCGAAATTATGAATTTTGATCACCAAATTCGACGTTAGCAAACTTCTGCATTCTGATAGGAAATCAAATGAATGTTGCCCTTTAGTGCCCTACAAGCCCAGCTCCGTCGCGGTGCATGCCGATTGTGACCGTCCCCCCGGAGAGTTGCGAGCCCTCGTCCTCAACCTGACAAAAGCCCTTCCGGTATGAAAACGGATTGAAAAATGAACCGCGTTTTCAGAATCTACAGCTTTTTTGGATCCACGTGGGCCATCATATTTCCTCGCTCCGGCTGCTGCTCGACATCAAGGCCCCGTCGATCATCGCCGGTTGCTGGTTGGATCAGAGGCACGGTCAGTGGGGATGAACTTGTATTTCCTGCAGGGTTTCCCAAAATAGCCCCCCTCGGTATTTGGCCGCCTTGATTTTCTAAGCACTGTATAGTAAAACAAAAAAGTTATTCGGGTTTATTTTGCCGATTTCGATCTCGAATCATTTAGGAAAAATCCAGAAGGCCCGTTTTTCCGCACAGGCAGATCCCGCGCAGCCCTCTAAGAAAAAAATTTTTTTATAAATTTTACACATTTTTGGAAAAGCAAAAGCAGAATTTTTGATTTTATGGAAACTCTTCCTTTTCTAAAGGTGCAGAAATACCTGCCAACTGGAAAGCAAGTATGTTCATAGTATTTTTGGGAAAGATTAGTCATATTGGAAGTGCAAAATAACCACAAAAACTGTGAAACCTTGGAGTCAAAAATCGGCTATGGTAAAAAAATCCATTTTTTGTATTTTTAAATTTAAAACTTTGAAAAGTTTGTACGTTTGGGATGAAGTAAAAAAACAACTTAGATTGAGAGATCGGGCCCTAAGAAAAATGTTGGCCCCTCCAAAGAATTCGAAAGAAACTGTGATTATGCCACGCAAAGGCCTTGATACATTTTGGCTTATAGTAGTGACCAGAGAAGACAGGCTATGGAACGAAGTGAAGTACGTCGTGCGCTGCACCTACATCAAGCAGCTCCTCCCCAACCTCGAGCCCACCCTGGCCGCAATGATTTTGGTAGTGATCAAGTAAACTTGACGACGACATTCCACTTTTGCAGCAGTGGGAACGTGGCCAGCGGCAAATCGACCACATCGTCCTCCACTCACACTCCGTCAGCGGTGACAATATGGTCGACTGGGATAAGCTGACCCCACGTCGGTTATAACATTAAAGGGGGGATCGAGGATGGGGAAGCGCGGCCTACGCGAAGCGCGCCACATGTGACGTGCGCCCGAAGCAAGCGCGGGTTTAGCAGATCTCCAAAAATCTCGCCGTAAACCACCTTGCCGAAAATCGGATCCTGAATGCAAATTTGGGCACTGGCCTGTTAGCGGGGAGGGGAGGATTTTTAGCAAAGCGGAATTCATTTTTGTTTTTCCTGCCATGCTTATCTGTTGATAATATAGAATGTTTTTATAGTGATTTTATAAGCCTTTGATTACCAGAAAGTCATAAATTTATTGATTTTGAATGCAGAATTTTTGACGCTTTCTGTCATTTTCACATTTTTTTGACGTAGCGTCGTAAAGAAAAAGCTCGTTCCCTACCCCTGGTTAAAACCCCTCCCCCCGTTAAGAGTCCAGTACCGGCAATGCCACGCTAGGGATGCCCTGTTCTTCCGTTTCAATACCCTACTGATCGGCTACGTTCCCCATTTTAGTGGTGGCCGAGCTGGCCGGGAAGCTCGCGCGCGGGAAAACCGGCGCTGTCTCACTGGGCGGCGACTCGAACACATGGCTGATACGCCGTCACCGTTGGGTAAGCACGAATGACTTTAAAGCCTCGGGGGCATGGTTGGTGGGCTGAAGAGGTCCCGCGACACGCGACGCGCGCCGCTGAGAACGCTGCAAAGCGCCGTGATGCTAGATGTGCAACGGAAGTATAACACGCTTGCTCACCCGGTTCGGGATCTTTCGCATCGTCCAAAAAATCCATTTCCCGCATTGCTGGTGTAAAAATAGTAGTGACCACAATTTCTCTCTTTCCAGAGCAATGAGGGTCTCCTGATTGCCGTGCGGCCCAAGATGATCTTGATCGTCACGTGTGACTACACGTTCCGCAGGTTGCTCCCACTGGCTCTCGCAAACAACACCTCATGTCGTCTAGGGGTTCGCCTTGGACTGACTGGCACAAGTACAACAGGGCCATCGATCGCGCCGAGGTGCAACTGCGCCCGCGTCGTCTGAAAGTCCACTACGATGAGGAGCTCAATATGTGGTCCGAGTCGGTTGGCGAGTTGGAGGTATGGGTCTTGGGGTGGTGCCGCATTATCGTGGGACCAATTTTTTCCTATAAGTCACGAACAATCGGATGCCTCGCTAGTAAGCATTTTGGTTCCGGATTGCTAGCGGGTGCGGGGAACCAGTTTTTCCCCAGTAATTCCGTACGGCCTCTTCACAAAATATCAACTATTTTGGTTGTATTTTAAATCCATTTTAGAGACAAAAAAAATCACAAAAAAATTCTAAAAATTACGACAATTTTTTGAGTTTTTGCTGAAAAACCTGTGAAAAACGGCCAAAAACGAACAAAATCCTAGAATTTTCGAAGGTTTTTCATTTATTATAACATTTTAGATTTTTAAAAAGGCTACCTCCATTTTTAACTATAAGAATTTTAAAGAAGTCGGGAAAGAACCCTCCTCCCCGTTCCGATATTGCCTTTTCTTGGAATGCGCGCACGCAGCCGCCTTTTCAGCTCCTCTTCCACAAGCGCAAGTTTGAGGCCGGCGTCAAGCAGTTCCACGCTCAAGCCCCCTTTTGCTCGATCCCGAAGCGAGAGCTTGCCATTCACCAGGTAGGGAACTGCACCGCATACTTGAAATCCATCCTTTCTTTCTAGTTCTTGGACAATCCGGCTGCTACCCGCTTCTTGGTGAGCCACACACGATCCTGGCAGCATAAACACTGCTTTATAGCTGGAGCCGGAATTTGGACTGGAGTCGCCGTACAAGGCCGTGGACCACGTGGTCAAGTACTACGCCCAGAACCAGTACGCGAAGGAGGAATGAATCGGGATGTGATAAGATGTTTTTGTGCTCGGAATTTTTGTACTTGCTAAAGAATCACGGCTGTCGAATAAAAGGTTGGGCAGAACTTGCATTTGCTCTTTTCGAGCGCCGTTGCATCTCTCTTGCTCTCGCTCTCACTCGCTCTCGCTCTCTCACGCTCTCCCTCTCTATCTCGCTCTCTCGCACTCACTATCTATCTCTCTTTCTCTCTCTCACTCTCGCTCTCTCTCACTCTCGTTCTCTCTCTCTCTCTCTCTCACTCGCTCTCGCTCTCTCTCACGCTCTCTCTCTATCTCGCTCTCTCGCACTCACTATCTATCATTCTAACTCTCTCTCTCTCTCTCTCTCTCTCTCTCTCTCTATCTCTCTCTTTCTATCTCTCTCTCGCTCTCTCGCGTTCTCTCTCTGCCGATCTCTTGATCTTCCGCTCACGCGCGATGGAAGGACTCAAACGTACTCGCGCCCACATCCGCGCCACGCGACGCGCAAAAAAGTGGAGCGTTATGTCTCGCCATATCCACAAGCAATGCATCGCCAAGAACATCCTGTTATGGTATCATGCTGCTTCCTAACTGTCACGCCACCTTTAAAACAAATAAAATACGCAGTAAAAAGTGAAAAATTGAAAAAGAAAAATTCATCATTCGAAGAAGCTATTTAAAAGGTTGAAAAAGATTTAAAGATTCAGCTCCGATTGCAAAAAAAAATTGAAATTTCATTTCCTCCCTGCACCCGATTGCTGCGCCAAGATTTAGCGGGGGCCAATTCCGGAAAGCGCTCGTTTAGATGGCCAGAAAAAAATCGGCAAGGGAGGCAAGAAGACGAAGGAGCTAGCCCGAGCACAGCCGTGAGACGAGTAATTGAACCCGGTGCCCAGCCACACGCGAAGAATGCGATTTGTCCACCCCAAGGAACTGCCTACGCTTTTTTGGAAGACACACACAACCAGAGTTGCGTGCCCAATGCCCATAAATCGGGAGCGGGCCCTTACAGATGGGTTAGGAATTCTGGTTACAACGTTAAGGCTGGATTTGCTCGACGGGGAGGGGCGGGGGGTGGTTTTAAAGGGATGTTGCCAGCCAACAGTCCATAAGAATTCTGTTGCGAAGCCAAGATTTTCGAGGCCTGGGTTTAAAGCGTCCTTGGCTTTTAAAATGTTGAAAAGGGATGAAATTTCAAGTGAAAACGATAGATGGAAACATGTTTTGTGCGATCTCAGAGACGAATTGCTGTCGCGTTGTGTCTCGTAGTAAACAGGGTACATTTTAGGGACACTAATCCTATTCGTGTCCCCAAAGGGTTTAAGCAATCGGGTTTCCGTACGCGGAACCGTTTTCCGAATTAAGGGCATTTATCGGTGAGAGAGTGAGAAAGAGAGAGAGGTTGAGCGAGAGAGATTGCGAGAATTAGCAAGAGAAAAAGAGAGAGAGAAACCGGCAGGGAGGAAAGAGAGAGAGAGAGAGAGAGAGAGAGAGAGAGAGAGAGAGAGAGAGAGATACGCGTTTTCAACTTGAATAAAGCCTAAAGTTTTTGCAAAACAATGCAAAGAAAACTTGGGATTTCCCAGGGTTTCCCCAACCTACCACAGGCCGTCAAAAAGTTTGGCCAGATGCGCAAAAACTTTCATTAAGGCCGTTCGGATGAATGCCAAGGGAATGAAGCAGAAAGGCGCAAAAAATATGGGAAAATCAACAAAATTAGGAGCAGATACACAAAGTCAATGAATTCTTCGATCTGGCCAAAACGTGGCACCAAGCATAAAAACCGAATTTACAGTATAAATGCACATTTTAAAAGTTTATTTGTTATCAAAACCGTTAGATAGTCAGATAGTCGTAGATTTCGTTAGTGGGCGAAGATAAGGTGCTGAGGGGACAAAGCAAAAATCGAACAGAAACAAAAATAAAGCTTTTTTTTGACCCATAAAAATATAAAAATTCCCGGGATGAAAACACATCGCTGGCCACATTCCAGGCTTCATTAGCCTAGCAAGGGGACTATTCGGGGACCCCGAATAAGGCCTCTCATTTTTGGGGCGGCTTTTTTTGTGCCCCTAGGGGGGTGGGCTAGGCGGCCGTAGCTCGTTAGCCGATTTTATGGGCCGTGCGTAGAGACCCACCCCAAAATGGGCACACAAATGCACCGGCTGGGCAGGGGGATATATCTTGCATTTTGCATCGGAAAGTAGGAGGAATTTATGGGTTTAAAGGTGTGGTGACATAAGACACGGGTAATAACGTAACGCAGCGATTCTGGGGGCTCATGGTCGGCAGTCTGGGAGGAGCGCCAACGACTGAGGCGGCCGGTCTAATTTTTGCTTGTTTTAAAGGGACGTGAAAGGTAGTTATGGATGTCATCACGCCATTACGGACGCCACGCGCATGCTGGCATTTCCATTGCGTAACCGATTACGACATTTTAAAGGGGACAAGAACCCTAAGCGGCTCGTGGGTTGCGTCTAGCGTGTAATTATGCCTTTCTTGTCCCTTTACAGCTACTTTAAACCCTAAGTTTGCACATATTTTCCAAGCGCTATTATTTGCATCGACTTCCTTGCTTTGCACCTTTCTCAAAAGAGCAACTTCTACTCTTTTACGACGCTGAGGTGAGAGCCCATTTTTCATTTTTCTCGTCGACGCTCAGGTGGAAAAGATTAGCATCTGGTGGAATCTTGGGGGGACGATCTTTTTGTGCGAAATGACCCGGATGACAGGGGAAGTTAAACTCAAGCAGTGAAATCGGGAGAAGGGAATGCGATGTTGCTGTCACGCTCCCTTTAAAGTTCCTGAAGAATTCCTTTGAGGCCTTAAGAAACTTTGTTAGTTACCTCTAAATCTCCCAGAAATTTTGCTCGTCCACAATTCTTTGAGAATCCCAGCTCGTTACCTTGAAATTCATGTGCGCCTTTGAAAACCTGAGAAATCGCTCGCCACCTTTCTAGTCTACTCTGAACGCTGTTTCTTTGTTCTTTCATCCAGCCATCTCGTTACATTTTGACATTCTGACTGGGCTCGCCCTCCAGGGTTATGGAATTGTCCTTGTTGTGTCGACAAGCAAATACCATACCCCTTCCCCGCAACCGTCACCACGAAAACGAGAAAAGCAAGAGTCTACGCGCGTCTGCTGTTTGCTTCCTTGCCCTATAGTCCGTGATGCAATCTCGAGGTGCGCGCCAAAAACGGAAAAACGTGATTTTTTCGATTGGACGTGTGAAATATTGGAAATCCTGTAAATGTTTGTAAAACGGCCTCTTATTCATCGTAAAACACATAGGTCATCGATGCAAAATGGATTTTCTGTGTTCAGATCGAGCCTGAACCATCGTAATAAATCAGCAGTAGAGGGAAAGTATGGAGCTTCTTTGAGAATCCTTTGACTAATAACGAAAATCTTTCTGATTTTTAGTTATTGTCAGACTTTTACTGTCATCGGCCTGCCATTGTGGCAATACCACTTCGGGAATGACAGCTGTGACCGTAACTCGGCGTCATCTCGGTTGAGGGACCTCATTTGGAGGAATGCATTTACTTCGCAGCTCGGTATTCTCGACGATGGTGGTGTTTTGCGGAAATCGGCCGATCGTAACGGTTACGCTAAGCAGATTTTTGCCGGTAAAACCTGAATAGGCTAGATAGAAGAAAGCCTGTAATCGAGGAGTAATCTCGGTAGTCAAGCCGTAAAGTCTCTAAAGTATCTAGCGGATGGAAAGGCCGTATACTGTCGATTAGATGTGATAACCAAAGGGTAACGATTTTCGTAAGATGTAGGCGTGATTTGGTGCGTCGCGTAGTCGACTGTAGCGAATCGTGGGAATGCTTAATTTTTGCGTTCACTCGTCCCTTTAAGAACGCTGACAGTATGGTCGAAGGGAGAATTATCTATAGTCATCCTTCCCGAATCCAATTAGTATCAACTACCGCGCAAAATGGTGATTTCCATAAATCAGGCTCCCGCCCAACTCAAAAGCTTTCCCCGATTTCCCCCTCAAAAAGCGCCTCCCCTCTCGATCTCCATCTTTAGAGATGCTTCTCTCTTCTCCTGCCCTCTCATGCTCCCTCGTGCTCTCTCTCTCTCACTATCTCGCCTCGCTCCTTCTTCGTTGAGACTGTCCATATCTAATTGCTGCCATGTGCCGCCCGTTTGCTTGTTGCTCCGAGAGGACTTTCACTATCCGCTTTTCCAAGCAAGCCCTCGTTGCTCGATTCAATGCACACACTCACTTTTCACTGCCTCTCACTCATTTTTGATGCTCAACCCCTCGGGGGTACGGCTGGGAGGGGCGCAAAACCTGTAATCCTATTTTGGGCGTCGGGGTGGGCGTAGAGTGCAAAGAAAATTGTTTGTGTTACAATTTTTGCTAGGGTAACTTTGGGAAAAGCGTACATTTGGATATGAGTTTCTTGCCGTTCTCAATCGTGAAATATGCGCGGACCTCGGGATCTTAGTTTGAATAAAATTGCATTTTTGCATTTATATCAAAAACCCTGAAAATTCCTAAATGTTCCGCGCTAACCTTCTCCTGGTTGTTGTCCATTTCTTTTTGAGAGGAACTGTTTATCAAGCCTTTACGAGAAGCTACGGTAATTTTTTTGATGTCGCGATTCCTTTAAACCTCGAATTTCCTCATCCGCATCTGCTCATACCCAAAATTACGTACCGATACCTTTAAAACACAGTGAAAATTGTATTAAAAAAGTTCTTAAATCGTCGCCACAATTTTTATTATTAGTTAGCCTTTTAAATAATTCTTTTCTCCTGATGATCCAATTATTCAGGGTTTATTAATTTAAGTTTTTTTTTGCTGTCACACTCCTCTTAAAATGACGAATACCTTTAAAGCCGGCAATTTCAAGTTTACTAAAACACAGACGATTTCCGTGCGCGCCTCAAGCGCCCGAACCTTTCGCGCCGACACCCCCTGGGATTAATGGGAAGAGGGAAAAACTGTTTCTTTTTATAGGGAGCCCTGACTCTGTACTCTCGGCCAAAAAAAAATT